AAGCTTGTTTAATCATTTAAAAAGAGAAACTTTAATCATTTGAGTAAAAGAAGGTGTTTCTGGGGTCCTAGCTTGTTGGTGGTTATCTGTTTAGGGAGTCATTGGACTCCCAATCGCTTTTGGACCTTTAAATTTGGATTTATGCAGAGGTTGGCTCGAATTTCTGCATTCTGTTGAAGAAGTATTCGAATACTTTTCGTGAGTATTCGAATACTTGTTCATCAGGTAGTCGAATACTCATTGCTGAGTATTGGGATACTTTTCTGGGAAGAAAAGTATTCGAATACCTTTGAAGAAGTATTCGAATACTGGAAAGTATTCGAATACAGTGAGGTTTGGTATTCAGATACTGGGGTTAAAAGTATTCGGATACTTTGTAGTATGCGAATACTTAAGTGAAAGTAATCGAATACTTTCTGGAGAGCTGGAATATTCGAATACTACTCGTGGAGTATTCGAATACTTTCTGCAGAAACAACATGTAATGAGTAAGAAAAACCTAATCACTTAGTGTAATATGTGCTATGATTATTGATGATTAATTATGGTATGGGCAGATTGTGATTGTGTTGTTTGTGGGCCTTGAGCTTGTGTGGACTCTTGGCATTGGATAGTTAGCTTGCGAGGTAAGCTTTCGTGTCCTCGGTTTAGCCATGTTGTGGTTCCACCATGTCCCATGGGGGTATGGTTATATGCATGTTGTGTTACATGCTTTTGATGTTTTAGAAATATTGTTGTGCTATTATATGCAATGTGCCTTGTTGATATGCATGGAGGTGTTCCACCTATACGGTAAGCCTGAGTATGTAGAACATACAATATGGTGAGGTTGTGGGTGAGGTGCAAGCAGTGTTCCTTGTACTACATGTAGGCATAGACGTATTCCTACATTTCTATGGCCAGTAGAATAGTGATTACACACATGTCATAGATATCTGTTGCACTACATAGTTTTGAGAACTTATATTGATAAATGTTTTTAGAACTTATATTGCACATGAAGTGAGCTTGGGGTGGAAGATCCTTGAGGACCCCTTGTCTTACTGAGATTTCTTGTCTAGAGATCTCACCCCACGTTTGCGGAATGCTTATTTCAGGGTCAGGTAATGTTGAGACCTCAGGCGGTAGGAGGCCGGAGCTGAGTTAGATATTGATGATATTGCTGACTTGTTGGATGCTGGATATGCATGCTGTTTTTATAAGTTTCGTTCTATGTTTATGATTATCTTGTTGAGACGTTGTTGATTTGGTGAGTATGGGGATTGTCCATGGCACGTAGACTTGTTATGTCTTGCTTTTATTAGAGTTTTATTAATGTATCAGGATATTGTCCGGATTACGTGATGTAATGTCGTGACTTAGATACTCACTTTATATATTATATTGAGATATTTCAGTAGATGTCTTATTGCAATTTACATTCAGGCGATATTTTATGAAAGTGATTAAATAATCAACTTGACTAAGTTTAATGACGTCATAATTGAAAAGAAAACGAATATTCCGCATTTTTAATTAAGCGTAGCTTAATGCGATGTAATGATAACACTACCGGATATATATGGGATGTTACACCATGCATTTTGAAAAACAAAATAAAAAATTAAACAAATTTTTTTTTCTATGTCTATGACATAAGAACACACTTCTCCTATGAAAGGAGAAGTGTTTTTCCCATTATATTATTCTTAATTTTATGATTATTTTCTGTCGTATCCTCTTTTTTTTCCTTTTAGAAAAAGGAATACATACTTCTTGGAGCATTGAAAATGTACTCGTAACGTAGAGTAAGTACCAGCTAAAAAGGTATACAAATCCATCACTGTGCATATTATTAAGTTGCGAGGATAATTTGCTCTGAAATCTGACCAAAACTCTGAAGTAGAAGAAATATAAAATGAAGATGATTGATGCCATGTGTATTTTTGGATAATAACAATAACAATGATAATAATAATAATTACAATAATACATTTTTGTGGATACCCTATTGCCATTTGCGCGCATAGCCGTAGCTAGCGCACTTGTATGTGCACCTGGTTGGACATGGCGATGCATGTCACTGTGTATCTATGTACTACTTCTTGTTTTCATATGCTTTCTAATGCAGAAGCATATCCATCTCCTAATTATTTGTTAGTTAAGCTAGTGGTTTCTGATTCATCTTAATAAAATTATAAAATAATTTTATGAAGTTTATATATGTAAAGTCAACTTTATCATTGGCCCTAGATAAGATTTTGATTTTTTATTTTATTTTGATTTGTTAATATAGAAATGACTAGAAGTTGGAAACAGGGATTGGAGGGAACTTCATCGGTAACTTTAGAAATACTGGAAATAAAAGAAAAAAAGAAAACAACATTGCAAAAGGAAGAAAGGACGAAGATATTTTGTAATCAAAATAGAAAAAAGGACGAAGATATTTCGCCCTTCCCCTCCAATACGCAGTCCTTTTATTTATTCCCTTTGGCAACTAGAGTTTCATCTTTTTATCATGTTTTGATCCCTTTCTCTTGTTACCCTAAGGTTTATTTTGGTGAATCTTGAGGATAAAATGAGAAGAAAAAATAGCCATAAATATCAAAAGGTAAATGCTTTTACAAACATATGTTAAGATTGGAATAGGCTCGACACCTAGGTTTCCTGCTTGATCGTGACCAATCGATTTATCATACAAGCTTTTATGATCTGTCTTCCAAAATTAAATGCATATAAAAGTTATTCGGTGAATAAATACCTGATTTTCTATTTTCGTTTCAGATCCATGTGTCACTTAGTTAAGCGTGTGAGTATAACCGTCAGCTGGATTTTGTGCTTGACATATAAAACAAACAGTACGCGTTATAATATTTCTTTTTATTTGGGTTAAGAACATGAACATATTCTATGTTCTTAATAGATATCACTTTGTATGGGAAAAAACACACTGTGTGCGTCCTGCTGATCCATCCATAGAGCTCACCGAATATGCATAACCGATGCTTGAGAGTAAAATACCCAATGAATGGCGTAGATCAAAAAGTGAATAATGTAACAATTGATCAATTTTGGATTTAAATTTTACATTTTTAGTATTTTTTGTTATCATCTAATAAAATATTAACACATCATTAACAAATGATAATTATTATAAAATATATCATTTTATTTATGTGAAAAAAGTTTTTTTATTTTAAAAGATATAATTTCATGTCATTTTAAGTAAAATAATATGTACTGAAATACTGTCATTTTATTTAAAATAATATAAAATTGTGTCGGATACGGTGATTCAAGTCAATAAGACAAAAAAGAGAAAATGTTGGTGTAATTTGACACTACAATTGGAGGGGAATTTTGTACGAACAGCGGCGCCAGCTATAGCATAACCATAGACTATCTAAGTCATAAAATAATATTCTTCTTGCCTATTTGAACAGCATCAACAATGCAGAACCAAACATTCAAGTAGAATCAGAAACCCATTGCTGATATTGAATTTCCAGTCTGTTCAAGAAATTAGCAAAATAAGTTCAAAGAGTATATTGACAAGACTTAACAAAAAAGATATTCAAGATTATATACTTGGTAAATTTTTCTGGCTAGTTTACATTCGGGGGAGGGGCCCCACCTGCTTAATTTGTGGTTATTATAATTTTTTCTTTCTTAATCACGAGGGATCACCATCATCAACAAAGATAGGCCAACTTTTTTTTAGCAGTGAAATGGAATGTATTCAGCAGATGGTTCGTTAACTGCACATCATTAAGTCCCTTTCATTCCGCATACTATATAAATTGTTCTTTGAAGTTTGAACCTTCAAATAATTCTTGGCGATGGGGTGAATGAGAACAATAAAATTCTATATTCTGTGCCCGGAGGATGACTTATTTTGTCCTTTTAATGTATAATCTGATTAACAGTGTTATATTTATAAATTTTTTATTTACAAACTCTTATAAATTATACCGTGTTTATACTGTGCATTTCGAGAAATATGAATACTAAGTATGTATTTTGGCAAAATGATTTCTGTCGCCGCTGTACCTACCGCTAGTCAGGATCCGCGTGCGGATCCTAGGATACGGCACTGGATCTTTGTTTTTTGTTTTTTTTTTTAAAAACACCGTGGGACCCATTTTTCTGTGTCAGCTATAGCGAGTGTTATCTACGCCAGCTGCAGAAATGATAAGCCCATGTATTTTTTGGATTAAATATTTGTATTTTTTAGAGTATATAGTGTTTGGAAAGTACAAATATTTAAGTGTGCATTTCCCGGATTAAGTGTTTATATTCTCCGAAATATATAACGTAGTTTGCAAAAGAAAAGTTTGTAAATACAACTTAAATCTTGATACACATACTTGTTTGCCGTAGAAGACAAACAAATTGTAATAATAATGAATATAATATAATGGATTTCACCATACCCTATATACAAGCAAGAATGAAAAACTTTGCTCAAACAAGCATCGAAATTTATTTTTGCTTTCTTCATACTTCAGGGGGAGACCAAAATAATGTTTTCTTTCTAAAAATAGTAAAGCATGAGACAACAGTTACAATGAACTTAATCTGCGGTTTGCCAATTAAATTCACATATCTCTAGAAAATGGAAGCCACATCATCAAGAGCAGAGCACTTCATTTAGTTATGTTATTTAAGGCATTATTGGAATCTATAATGCTTTACCAACATAAAAGCAGAAGGCACTTAAAAAACAAAGAAGGAACATAGCCAACATATTCTAGATAACATGAAATTTTAAGTGACACGTAGGAAATATGTCAAAGACAAATCTAGTGCCATCTATGATCTACCGCTTACATCAGAGGTAGTAGCAAATGTGTTCTGCATGTACCGTAAAATTAGCTTTTAGAGCTTGAAAATAAAAGGGAATTTTGAGTCGACAGTAGTATTAAGCAAGTTGAGAGAAAAGCTTGTTAATTTGAACAAAGTTTTGCGTCCACAAGTTTATTAGAGGCAGGAAGTTGAAGCACTTCCTCTCTCTTTCTCTTTCTCTCTTTTCTTAGTTTTCTATATTATATTTTCATATTCTTTTTTTTACCTAAATATTTTAAGCTTGCCACTAGGCATTCAACCGAACTCTCAAGGTACTATAAGTAGAGCATCCTCAAGGGTCTTCTAAGTGGTACACAAACTTCATTTCATCTCATCTCATTACATAGAAAAGAACTAAACATGGCAGAGAGCCTTCGTTTGGCCGTTGCTGTTATTGGTATTTCTTTGTTCATTCCTTAGTTTCTTAGCATTTTTTATTACTATGAGTCTTCAACAAAAAATGACCCATTTGGGTGTTTCTTGCAGGGAATGTTGCCTCAGTTTCCCTTTATGCCGCACCAACGTATGTTATATAACCCACTGTTGTGTGTTCAAATACTCCACATCTATTTTCATCTTCTCCTTTTTATAGAATATAAAGCATTGACCTTTTCCATCATTTACTTGTGCAGGGTTACCTTCAAAAGGGTAATAAGGAAGAAAAGCACAGAGGAGTTTTCATGCATTCCTTACATAATAGCATTGTTGAACTGTCTCCTTTTCACTTGGTATGGATTACCTGTTGTGAGCAACAATTGGGAAAACTTCCCTCTGGTCACGGTTAATGCAGTTGGAATTGTTTTTGAGCTATCCTATGTTCTCATTTATTTCTGGTATGCTTCAGCCAAAGGAAAGGCAAGTTGTAGTATGGTCCACCACCGTCTTTTAAGCCTAACTTCTTCTCTTCATGCTTAAAAAATCTGACCAAAATTTCACACCTTGTTTTGTATCAAAATCAATGGATCAAAACCCAAGCAAAAACAATCATATGCATACAAGTTTTCATTATTAAAAAAAGAAAAAGAAAAGGGAATGGTCAATATTATTTTTATTATTCTAAAAATATTTGTCTTCACTCCACAAAGACTATTTGCATCAGCATGCATGCTTGCAGAAATACATAGATGGAAAAGTACTTAGTTTCTGAAACTCATAAGTTTTACAGGTGAATGTAGCCATGACAGCAATACCAGTTCTTATAGCGTTCTGCGCCATTGCTGTTGCATCAGCTTTTGCCTTCCCAGATCATAGGCACCGAAAGCTACTCGTTGGTAGCATAGGCTTGGGGGTTTCAATAACAATGTATGCATCCCCTTTGGTTGTAATGGTGAGTCATCTTTGTCTTCAAATATAAATTTTGGTTATAAGATTGCTGTTAACTTAAAAGGAAACAGAGAGACAGGGGAACAAAGTAGTTCAATTATACAATCTAATAATCCACATTAGTATTATAAGGAGAAATGCCTTTGACAAGTTTCTCCATTGATTATTGCAGAAGAAAGTGATACAAACAAAGAGTGTGGAATTCATGCCACTACCCTTATCTGTGTGCTCATTCTTAGCAAGTATACTGTGGATGCTTTATGGACTCCTCATTCGGGATATATTCGTTGCGGTTTGTATCATAGTAATTAATTATAAAATTTTCACAAATCTTAGGAAAATCTTGTAAATACTAAGGTTGTATTGCTCCACATGTGACAGGGACCAAGTGTGATTGGAACTCCCTTAGGCATTCTTCAACTCTTTCTCCACTGCAAATACTATAAAAGGAGAGTTATGGAAGAACCGAACATGGTGGACAAGCAGAAGGGGAACCTAGAGAAGGTGGACTTGGAAATGGGGGACATGGAGAAGAACGTGACAAATCCTAGTAATAATAACTCTTGATCCATGACTAGGTTGAAGATTTCAGTTAGTTCTTGTCAGATTCTGGTTTTTTATGTATGTTTGTTTCCTTAACAAAGAAAAGTTATCTACCTAGTCATTAGAGCTAGTGTGTTAACGGATGTATTCATCACACAATTTTAAGTCATAATTTCTAGTGCATGTCCCATTACACGTTTTTTTTTTTTTTTTGGAAACTGATTTTTGCCACTTAGTTATGTACTTATGTTTATGGATCACAGATACTTAAAAAAAAAAAGAGTAATATCTAAGTGAACATAAAAAAATTTAATAAAGCGCTTCAAATTTAACGACTGGGGAGTATTAATAACTATTTGGAAAGATTAAATGGTATTCAACAGATGAGAATATCTGTTGTAACACTGTTCTTGAGCAAAAATTTGAAGAAGCAAGAACTTGAAACATTAACTTTGTTACTAAGCTTTATTAATTATACAAATTAGTTATGTGTTTATTTAAATGTAAAATCTTCAGGGTAAGATCTATTTTTTTGAGTTGGGAACCAAAACAACACTCAGCTTAAAAATTGAGAGAGTAGCTGACACCCCTACCCTGAAATTGGAGCAAATGTGATTTGGTTAAAGCACATAAATCTAAATAAGGAATTTAAAATACCGACAGTATATGTGAAATGAATTACTGAGCTAATATTAAATTATCAAGGAATCAAATCCACTAACAGATTTGCAAAAATAATAATGCACCGATATTACAAGAGTAAAGAGTTCATATGCCAAAGCAGAGAAAAGAAACCAGCCAATTCTCAAGAAATAGACAATTCATAAATAAAGGCACCAGTTACTCAATGGTCACAACATTTTTTTCAGTACACATCGTGAGCAACGTTTTAAGACACTTACTTTTTTTTTTATTCTTGTCCTTTCTCCCCTTTTGCAAAACGGTTGGGGATTAGGGGAGTTCGGACTTCGGATTTTCTGAACTCGATGACATAAAAATAAAAAGTTGAACCGTATAATCATTCTCCTTGCTTAAAAAGTGTGTTTGGCAACACAAAGGGAATAGATATAAAGAGAATTTAGGTTGGATTCTTATCAAATACATTTTTTTGTGTGAGGGAGATGAAGGCTCCAAAAGAGTGGATCTTATATCATATTTCAACTCGAGAAATATTGATATGTTTCCCTTCAATTCCGAGACCACCATTGATAGGCTAACACTAGTCCATTACATTAAGTGGATCTGACACTATGTAACACTTCAAAATTTTAAAATATTGGATTCATGAATTCTCACACTTATATATACTTTATTTAATATAGGACTCCATCACACTTGAATATCTTAATATTTGAGAAGAGACAGTTTTTTTAAAATATGACTAAACCTCAGTGTTATTAAACTCGACCCGGGAATTGACCCGGTCAGAAATATATAAAAATATATATAAATATGAACATATAAATTTAATCGTATTCTCCATATCTAAAATGAATTAAACAAAGTTCACTAAATAAGCTAAAAAACACGAAGCACAAATAAATAAAAATACAAATTATTACTATGTTGATTTAAATTGCAACTCAGAATCCCTATAAACATACCTTTCAATGACATTAAACACATATTTTTCAAATTCATCTACATCAAAATGACATATGTTACATTCTCTTAATTTATTATTCCGCAAATTACTTCAGTATTGGAAGCTGTAATTTGATGTCTTTTAAAATAGTATGTTAGCAAATAAAATTACAAAAAGATTTTAAAATGAGGTCTACATTTTTTCTGACAAGACAAAATAATTTTGATTTTTTTGATCTTTTTATAAATGCATGACCCGATCGGGTCACCGATTTTGACCGGGTTTGGCTGGTTTTGTACCAGTTTGGCCGGGTTTTGATTGAGTTTGACCGAATCTGATGCATAACCGGTCTAATGCTTAATCCGAACCGGTCCAATGACCAATGCTTAAAGAAAAATTTTATAAATAAAAAATTGACAATAAATCAAACTTAAAACAAATATTAATCTTCCAAATATACCAACTTCCTTGAACACATTGACCATATTTGATGAATCATGAATTTAATTGAGACTTAATAATCAACTCATTAAGTATTCAGATCATATTTAATGGGCCAAATAATAAAACTTCTATTTGGAATTCGGTGTTTTAGTCTATACTTTCTTGGGCCCTTCAGCTAATGATTCAGCAATTATCTGACATTCAGAGTCACAAGGCTACTTTAATTAAATGCCTCTCTCTTCGATCGGGGGATTTGTCTCGTCCTTTCTCCGGCAGCGAAGTTCAATGCACCCGTTGTTTCAATGAGGGGCTAGCCTACAAAACTGTACCTCGAAAACAAGGTGACCGGAGGAGGTTGAATGAAGATACCTCCAGATTATAAAAAAAAAAAAGGTACAGACTTACTATCAGAAAGAAAATTGTCACAAAACGCGAAAAGGCTTAACAAAAAGCAAAGGCATAAGAAGTTATACCACCTGCCATAAAGTTTTATATTAAGATACTTACATGAATTCAGTTGTGGTAAATTGTCACGCTTACAAAAATTTAATATTTCATATTTAATCATATATTGACACATTAACTGAAATACTAAAATATTTCACAGTATTACTAATTAACTAACTAATAATACATTATCATCTGATAAATATAAAAAAAATTACACTTTATCATCTATAATACATTATCGTATCATTCAATTAACTTCACAGTTAAGAAAAAAATTCAAACTCATTAAACGAAAACTGCAGAAATTTTTTCATATTGCATTCTAATTAAATTGATAATATCCTTTCGGTTCTCATCAAATAACGAAGAATATCATGTCAAAAGGTGTAGACTGCAGTTTCCATTTGCATTCCACTGCTCAAATTTTCCCTGCACCCTTCCACTGCACGATTCCCAGACTCGTCTAATTTTTTAATTTTAGATTGTGTTTGGTACATATTATCTTAAAATATTGCTAGGCATTTGAAAGTGGATAAGTAGTTTGTCCATATTTAATAGAGATTATCAAAATATTTGTCTAGCTAACTCATTTGTCCAGTAATTAAACTTTGTACGTAAAATTGAACCAAAAATACGGTGCTTAAATCCTACTTCAACGGTGGTATTTGAGTGATAACCATCTAAGTGAAAAAGATGAATATGAGAGGTGCCAAAACTACCCTTTGTTTGCTGTGAAAAGTAGAACAAGATTTAAGTAGAAAATAAAAGCAACCCTTAATTATTATTTGCAGAAATGAGTGTGATGCTTTTGAGTATTGAGAAAAAAAGGTTTTTGTAATTTGATGACTTTAGGCAACAGTAGTTCTCATTAGGGTTATTTTGTAATTTTAATTTGGTTTCCCATCAATATTTTATCTTCAACCAAATATAGATTCAGGAAATTTTACTCAAATTTTCCAGTAATATTTTGTCCAACCAAATTATTATTTTTTAACTCTTTTACCTAACTCATTTTTCCTGCCGATAACTAAAAATATAACATTTTCTTAATAAAATTTTTTTTCCACATGTATCAAACGCTCCCTTTCCCCTAACAGACACATACAAGGGAAGTTCTTAGAACCCTGGTAATTTCGGAAAGTTTTTTAAGCGGTGGCACTAATGGGATTAGGGATGCCAAAAGTTGTGTACATTCTTGTTCACAGAAATGTCTTTTTCCAAGCGGTGGCATAACTTTTGGGGAAATGGAGGCTGATTCTTTGCACAATCTGCAGCACTCCAAAAGGACACTTAATTAACACTGCCAACTTTGATTTATGCCCATGAAATGCACATGGGTAGATATAGAACTTGTTAGTTGCCAGTGGCCAATATGTATAATCATAAACATACTCAAATTACATTATTTTTCTTTTAGGCCATCCTCATATATTATGAAGTTGTTTATGGAGTACGGATATTCTCATTCAAAATAGGATATTGTATTTATTAACTAAGGGCTCGTTTGATTTCAGTTTTTAAAGACAGTTTTTTAATTTTCATAATAAAAAAATAAAAAACCTATTTGGTAATGTTTATTTTGTAAAAAATATAATTGTTTTTTAGTTTTTACAATCAAATTCGGAAAACATGTATGGATTATTTTTTTTTGTGTTTTGATTTTTAATTTTCAAAAGAAAAAAATTGCAAATTTTTATTTCATTAACTAATTTATAAAACATTTTTAAGAAAAGAAAATTAAAAGTGAAAACACAAAAAAAATAATTTCGATATATTCTCTAAATTTTATTATAAAAAAATAATTACATATTTCAAAACTTTTTTTATAAAATAAACCTTATCAAACGAGTTTTTTTATTCTTTTTTAAAAATTTAAAAATCATTTTTTGAAACAGATTGCAAATATGTCTTCTTTTTTTTTGGATTGCTCCACTGGTATCCGGGGCTTCGCCCCGATTATGTTGAATCTGACTCGGGTAGGTTACCTAGCATTGGCAGGTGAGTCTCCCGGCGAGAATTTTCTGCAAATATGTCCTTGTTAATAGCAATTGTTTTCATTTTTCTCTTCTAGGTATTGACATGACAACAATTTAGCGCTACATCTTATTTCTATGAATGAATGTATCGAATTATGAATTCGACTTAAACACTTAAAATATTTTTGGTTGTTGATGTATATTTACTGGGGTGTAAATATGTCAGACAATCTGGCAGGGGCTTATATTAGATCAGATCTGACTTATTACATACAATTAAATAAAATAGATTTAGGCCTTAAAAAAAATCTATTTAAAAAGTAAGTCATATATTTTGTTTTACATGTCAGGCTTATAAGCCTATAAACAGGACTATACCATATTATTTATTTTAGATAAAATAAATAAATTATTATTTTAATAATTTTAAATAATAAAGTAATATTTTGTAATTATTTTTTTAAATTATTAAATACCTAATCAGTTTAAATAGGTTAACAGGCTCAAGTCAATATTTTTATTTTTTAAATATAAATTAGATCAAACTTATAATTTAAAGTTATACAAAACTAACTAATCAGATCAAACATAAAATATTTAACACAAACTATCATCTTTCAGCAAAGGTTAGCTTAGCCCAAACCCATAATTTTTGCCTTCTTTGATTAAAGCTCACGCTTTTTTATCCTTACATGCATGATTGCCAGCTAATTTGAAAGAATTCCCGAATGTGTCAACATGTATA